AATGCCTCCTCGGCGCCCTTTAAAGAAATCAACTTACGCGTCGAGCAATTCATGAACTTACATAAGTACATTATATTTTTAAGTATATTTACTTGTACGCTGTACATTTACATATACACAAACGGCATGCAACAAAAACCAAAATACCAAACAAAAAATGGGAGACAGTCAATGACCGCCTAAAATTGTAAGCAAAGCATCGACGTAAAAATGCCAGCTAACCAAATACCTGAATTAGATACGTACAAATATACGAGTACAATCAGAGAATCCTTCTAGTGTCGAAATAGTTGAAGCAACTGTGGCACGCAATACAGTTTATTCCGAATTTGTATGCAAGGAAGCAGTAAAGAATCGCAAAGCAATAATAGTAAAATGCGCCAAGGATACAAATTAAAGGCAGGGAGTACCATTTTGGTGATGGTTGGATGGCCGCAAGTAAATAACTGTACGGCATAGAGGTGCGTTGAACACAGTTCCGATTCATGATCAGAGCAAAATCCAACAAAAAAATCTTATACAAATCATTCAGAGGCGGCGCAAATCTACAGGTGCCTTCACTTGTATTACAACAACAAAATGCATACCACAAATTAGAGGAAAACCAAACACTCGGTCAAACACTTAACTAACAAAAATGTAGGAGCCAATTTATTTTTTTATGTACGCAAATAGCTACATAAGTACCCGTATACTAGGGATGTTAATTTTGTCGCTTTTTAGCGATCCCGGGATTTTCGGGATTTCGTTATCACAATTCCGAGATCCCAAGATTAGTGCCGGGATTTAGATATTCATTACTGTTCAACAACTTAAATTGAAAAAATTGCCTCTATATTGTTGTGTTCCTACCATAAAAAAATAATAAATAAATGGGCTCGAAACCTCTCTAAAGGCAGCATTTATTTTAAAGGACTTTTTAATTTCAAAGATATAATTACTTCCAAAACTTATTTAAAAAACTCAATGCAATGTAAAATAAAAATACGGGTACCAAAAGAAAGAGAAAATTTCTTTAGAATAAAAAAAAATAAATAAAAAATTTTTTGGATACACGAGGACGAATAGGTAATTTTGTAAGCTGGTAAAGTTAAAAGGACGAAATTCGCGGATGTTATCGAGTTTATATAAATCCTTAATATATAATTTTTCCAAAAATAAATATTGAGAAATTTCAAGTATAAAATTTTAATAGGACATTTTCACTAATTAGCAGTCCTTATGCACTAAAAAGTTGAATTTGTTTAAATTTTACAGAATTTCTGCTTTAATTTGATACCCATACTTCTTCTCTAAGAACATTTCACTGAATTTTTTAAATCATTTTTAAATTATTGACGTCACAGGGAAAAACTAAAAACGCAATTTAACTATATTTGGCCCATGGTTTCGCGAATATATAAATTTTTGTGTGTAAAATTTACTATCGCACGGTGTTATATGTAAATTAGCTAGACATTTATAAAAACATATTAATTATTAAATAAGCAAAGAAATATAGCCGACACTGGCCAAGAAAAGTGGTTTCTATTATTGTCATCAGTGCAAATTACAAACATCGAAAATCCGGGGATTATTTGCCCAGAATCCCGGGATTTTCGAGACCTAAGAAAGGCCGGGAGCCCGGGATTAACATTCCTACCGTATACACAGAAATATTTGGAATTAATTTGAAAGTTGGAAAACAAGCCATTGAAATGATTACAAAGATCCAAACAGACCTCAAGAGCCACTCCACTAAAGCAAGCAGCAGTTGTTGTAGACAAAGTGTTGCTACTCAAGTTGCTGCTGTCCCTACTTCCTTTCGTCTTATCTTACTTCGTAATGTTTCTTAATGTAGTAAAAAGTCCAGAGAGCAGTAAGCCGAACAAATTGCTATCCCAGCAACTGTCTACTGATCACTGTTGCATGCAATTTGATGAGCACATAAATCATTTTCTTATTTACAACCGGCAACAAATTAAAACGCAGCCAAAAAGGGCGTAAAATGAACAGAGAGTGAATAATAAGGATTTACAAGCAACAATCATTTAACAATGAACACCCAACGCAGAAGAATGCGCAAAACGAGAAAAGTAAAAAAAAACTCGAAGTGTGCAAATCAAGGAAAACTAGGACGAATTCCTTAAGAAGGAATAAGAAATTGTATTCACGCTACAACCGAAGACACAGCGGCAACTGAGAAACAGACCGAGTGGTAATATACATACATATGTACGTACGTATGTATGTGTGTGAGTGCATGGGTGCATTCATTTAATACTAGAAGGTGACATGCACTGCCATAGTTATCCAGCTGATAGCAGTCATCAACACAAGATGAGAAGCGCCAAGCATTTTGGGACGGAGGCCGAATGAAAAACTATTGCATAAAGGGCAAAAAAGTGCGGAAAGAAGTGCATAAGAAGAAATTAAGGTATTTTTATTCAAAAAGAAAAATAAGAAATACTTGAAAAGAAAAGAAAATACATACATCATAGAAGAGGAGGAGTGGAGGCGAACAATTCACAATTCCGAGCAATGAATGAAAATATGTAATGTATATGCGACCTAAGTGTTTGAATGAGAGCAAAAATGCTGGAACGTTTTAATAAATGATGCTAACGAATAAATGTGCTGCGCAGAAATCACTTGCAAGAAATACATACGCTATGGCATGTGTTTGGAGTGGCGCTAAGAAATGCAGCGACAGGTTCATTAGAGTGGCGCACGTTTCATACAAAAACATTCTCGTCACGGCATTATATTCCAGAAGTATGTGCTCAGAGGTTTCAGCTGCATTATCACAGAAACGGCATAAATCTTTAGACCAGATCCCGGAGTTTGTGTAAGTGACGTCTCAGTCTGCAATTAACTGTAAAGAAGAGATGAATATGAACTTCCATTTGAGGCCGCCACAAAATTACGGAAGCAAGCAAAATATGGTCGCGCAACAATCTTGAGAGAACTTAAAAGAGAAGGGCATTAATGAAAAGAGGAAGGCTGATTGAACTGCCGGCACAGATCACATTAGGTCATTCCGGGATTTTCGCTTCAGGATTCACATAAGATGTCCAACTAAGGAACAATAGAACGCTGATCAACTGAAGGGAATCGTGGTATCACTATTTACACGGAAGGCATGGAAAAGTGTTTACCTGGCGCGGGGATTTATTCCGAGTACCTACAGATCAGGCAACCATATCGTTACCCAACTACTAAAGGACCTTTTAAGCGGAGTTCTTTATCCCGGATAATGCTGCTTGTCTTATAAAGAATAGTACGTCTATTTCAAAGATGTTTTTGTTCACACCCAAGCGACTTTGAACGCGTTAGAATCCAAAGTAATGAAGTTAAAAATTGTACGGAAATTCCGAGTGCCTATTATCTAGTCACTTCAGCCTTAGGCTGTTAATGAAATGATAGTCGCTCTCCAATGAGTATATGTCTAATTCGAGTTATACGCTGGCAATCTCATAATATTTGCTCCGAGATTTCCACCTCTAGCCCACAAGACCTGCAGTTTGTCTCCACAGAGAGGCCCATTTCGTGTAGATAGTACCTCAGTCTGACTAACTGGCGTACTATTTTGGACTCGGCCAAAATAGCTTAGGCGGTTACAGCGCCAATAAAGAAGAAGAAGAAGTACCTCAGTCTGCAGTGTCCTTTCAGGTATCAGGTGAGAGTTATTAAACCCTCTGCTAAGATTTATCAGCCGTTCAGAGATTCCACGAGGGGGAGTTATGGATCTTTTGGACTGCCTTTTGCCCTTTGCTGTGCGCCATTGGGTTGTAAGTTGCAAGTCCTCTCATCCCCTGAGGATCTCTGCTGTGTATCGTCCTCTGGATGTACCAAACAAAGGCTGCGGGCCAGCCAGGCTCCATTGGGCGCCGCATTTTTCTCATGCTCCGGAACCCACCACAAGGTCACTCTGTTTTTGGCTTCTAGTTTTAACAGTACCCTTTTGCAACTATCTACTACCTTTCACACCGGTTTGCAAGAGTCAAGTGCTCTTAACGCTACCTGGGTATCCGACATGATATTTATTTTTGCCTCAATAGGCGTTCTGCGAGGTCATTCGTAGACACAGACTTCAATTTTCGCTTGGAATACGGTTGCGTGTATGCCCATCGGGACGCTTTTTTGAAATATAGGTCCAAGTAGCTTCTTCGCTACCTACATTCCGCCAAGTTATGACTGGGTAGAGCGGGGTGACTGGAGTATAGAAGCAGTGAACTTTTTCACAGCTGGATCAAAACTTGGAGGAAGGACTGGTGGAGGTGTATTTTTCGGGGAGCTCTTCATCAGGCGGAAATACCTGCCATTACGGAAGCGGTATACTCATTGCTCAAGAGTGTGATGTCAACCGCGTCGCAGTATTTTCTAATCAGATTCAATTGGCTTCCAGGCCACAGCTACATTAAAATCGCGTGGCCTATGGCTTGACAAAGAAAGACACCCTTAAAACGTTATCACCGGATAGGGAACAGCAGCGGACACCACTCTCCACCTGTGGTTCACTCTTGGAAGGTTGTAAACTCATCGAGCGCTGGATAAAAGTAGGGCATACGCAATGGTAAGATCCTTCTAGCCTAGCATATATCTGGGAGGTTCAAAGGAGCTCCTCATTCTTGCAAACCCTATTTTCTTTTAAGTTATGTTATGTTAAGTTATACAGCGTATGCA